CATTTAAATAGTTTCCAGTTCTTTGAAAATACAGGGCTGGGGACATAGCTCAGCGGCACAGCCTGGCAAGCGCAAGGCCCTGAGTTTGGTTCCCTGTTCCAAAAAGAAAATACAGACGGTGCTACACGGCATGTGTATGTTCATGTTGTTGGGGTTTACCTTCTTATCTCATTTGTTTCTACAGTGTGGGGGTCACACTCAGGGCTTTACGCATGCTAGGCATGTGCTTTGCCACGGAGCTACGTCTCCAGCGCAGGGATTTTCCTTAAGAGCAGGTCCCCAGAGCCTGGTGCGGTGGTGCGCGCCTGTGACTCCAGCACCCTTCAAGCTTGAGGTGGAAGGGTGGCAAGTTGAAGGCCATCCCGGGCAACCTGGTGACTATCGGGACCCTGTCTCAGAAAGGGCTGGCAGTGTGAGGGCCCTGGGCTTGATCCCAGTATAGGATTGGGGGTAGTTTGAAACTTACTTTGTCCTTCTTCTGTTGATCAATTTTGTTTTATTTTTATTTATTTTATTTTTTTGGTTTTTGTTTTTTTTCCGTTACCGGGAATCAAACTCACGACCTTGCGCTTGCCAGGCAGGCGCTGTGCCGCTGAGCTAAATCCCCAGCCTCTGTTGATCAATTTTGTGTTGTTTCCAAAATTTAAACATTCTGAAATTCTGAGTCTTGTTTAAATTCTATGGACAATTTTTAAAAGTTATTCTCGTGGGCAATAAATTTGGCTGTGCTGAGATCACAGGTTCCCGGCTGCCTTTTTGTTTTTTGTTTTTCTCCGGTACCGGGAACCGAACTCACGACCTTGCGCTTGCCAGGCAGGCGCTTTTGCCGCTGGGCTAAATCCCCAGCCCCCCGGCTGCCTTTTTGGGCGTGCAGTTCCCGCGTCTGTTCAGTTTTCACCGCTCTGCTATTTGGCTCTCTTCGCTCATCGGCGCCACCGCGTGGCCGGACTGGGCGGCTGTCTGCCCCTGTCCGGCGATCGGCTCCGTGCCATTCGGTTCTTCCTGCGGCTTCTCCCGGTGCCTTTCTCCCGGAGCTCTCCCTGGTGGCTCTGAGCTCCAGGCCGCGCCCCGGCGTGCTGACCGGGCGTGGGTTTCCCTCCGTCCTGCACCTCTTGCCCTGGCTGCGTGAGGGTGCGGAGGAGTGCGGAGCTGGAGCAGGCGGAACGGGAGCGGGCAGTCTTCCTGGCGCTCGGAGCCTGGGCAGGACACGATGCGCGGGGAGACTCGCTCGCTCTGCTTCCGGCAGCGCAGGTCAGGTTTGGGTTTCAGGTGGCTCCGAGGTGGTGGCACCCCGTGCCCGCCCGCCGCCCTCGCGGCTTGGTCCGGAGAGGGGTCAGAGACGCTTCCCGCAGCCTCGCGCCACGCCAAGGACCGCGGAAACGCTCGGTGCCTCTCTTCCCTGCTGGCCACCGCGCACTGTCCTCCAGCCAGCTGCCTAGTATGCTTCTCCACCTCTTGTCTTGATTCAAAAATTTAGACTTTTTTAAATTTATTTTTTAAAAATTAATTTTACCGGTACACTTTTGGTATATATAATAATCACATTCATCATAGGGAATTTGTACCTCTACATAGTATATCTTACAGTTTTTGTTTTGTTTTGTTGGTACCGGGAGTCGAACACAGGGCCTTCCAAGCAGGCGCTTGTACCGCTGAGCTACCTCCCTGGCCCTACATAGTATATATTGATTCTTCTCCCCCGCTCCCAGTCACTTCCCCTCCCTGGACGTGATTTTTTTTTTTTTAAATTTATTGTTTTGAGACAAGAGTTTCGCTATGCAGTTCAGGCTGGCCTTGAACTCACTATACAGCCGAGGATGGCTTTAAACTTGCCGCTATCCTTCTGCCTCGGTCTCCCAAGTGCTGGGGTTACAGGTATGCACCACCACACCTGGCAAAAGTATAGATTCCGAAATTAATTTTTTTAACTTTCTTTTTGAAGTACCAAAGATTTTGAAGTGCGGTTTTGGATGCATTGTCTGGACATGGTAGCCAAATACCACACTGAGTAAAATTTGTAGGTATTATTAATGATCTTTATTAGCTTGAGGTTTTTTTTTTGTTTTGTTTTTTTCTGGTACGGGGAATCGAACTCATGACCTTGCGCTTGCCCAGCAGGCACTATGCCGCTGAGCTAAACCCCCAGACCCTTAGCTTGAGTTTTAAGATAGATATTTCTTGAGGGCTGGGGATTTAGCTCAGCAGCACAGCGCCTGCCTGGCAAGTGCAAGGTCGTGAGTTCGATTCCTCGTACCGGAAAAAACCAAACCAAACCAAAACAAAACAAAACAAAAAAAAACAAAACCAAAGATAGATATTTCTTAAATGTGTTTCTTTTTTCATCATTTATTTATTTTGAGACAGGGTCTCACTGTGTAGTGCAGCTGGCCTTGACTTGCTTATGTAGCCCAGGCTGGCCTCGAATTCACAGTGATTCTCCTGCCTCAGCCTCCCAAGTGCTGAGATTACAGGCATGTGCCACCACACCCAGCCCAAATGTGGTTTTTTAACCAAGTATTCATTATTAGTGTGACAAGTCATACAGTGAAGTAAAACTAACTTAATTAGGTTACGTAAAATGGCAATATTTATTATGTTTTTGTTTTGGTTTTTTGAGACAGGTACTTCAGACTGGCCTTGAACTCACTATGTAGCCCAGGCTGGCCTTGAACTCCTTGCCTCAGCCTCGTAGGTGCTGGGATTATAACCATGAACCACCATACCCAGCGATTTGTGCGTGTTTCTATGAGGCTGAGGCAAGAGGATTGCCGGGAGTTTGAGGTCAGCCTGGACTACATCATGACCCTGTCTCAAAAACGAAACAAAACAAATGTTGATTCTTTAAGCAGCCCAGATTCCTTTAAAAAGAAATTGAAAGTGGAGCCTGCTGCACACAGAGCCTTTCTGCAGGGGCCCCCTGTGCCTCCCGCGGGCTCGCGCGCGTCCGCGGTGTGGGAGCAGGTGCGCCGGGCGCCTGCGACCTTCGCGTTAGACCTTCCCACCGCACCCCTGTGCGGCGCGGTCCCGCCTGCCCCTCCCCGCCCTTCCCTGTGTTTTAGGGTTTTTTGTTTCTTTGTTTTCGCAGATCTTTTCACCGATGCTGCCGAGACTGAAAAAATGGCCGCAAGTCTGGAAGATTCTGAAGGGGTTTATTTTGTTCCGTCGTTTAGCGGATTGCAGGTATTCTTCTTAAAAGTTAACGGCAGTCGCGGACCGTTCTCTCCTCCCGCCACACTCGGAATTACGGGTCTGCCACGCTGTTACTGAAGATTTGGGGGGCGCAGAGCAGAAGCAAGAGGGAAGAGCACCCTAGGGCCGCGGCGCAGGGCGGACCTGGCGCGAGCTCGGGAGCGCCGAACCCCTGCGGGACCGGCCGGCCTGGCCCGCGCGCCCAGCGCAGCCTCTCCCCGGGACCCGCCCAGCGCCCGGGTTCCTGCCGGGCACGGGGAGATAGGTCCGTAAATGGGCGTACTCACAGGGTACCCCTGAGAACTAGAAGAATAATACACACTCACATACTACTATACACACACAATTTTCTGTCTATAGCTGTAGATCTACATCTGTGTCTATAAATATATGTGATGTATTAAATATGTACATACACATATATACATTTATAAGTATGTGTGTGTATATATGGATATCTATCTATATGTATATATCTAAGTTTCACTAAGTGGTTTTTTTAAAAGTCAACTTAAAAAAAAATCAACACCAGGCTTGGTGGCACGTGCCTGTAATCCCAGCCCTTGGGCCCTCTGGAGGCTGAGGCAGGGGGACTGCTGTGAGTTCAAGGCTAGCCTGGGCTATATGGCAATACCCTGTCTCAAAAAAAAACCCAAACAAAAAGTTCAACATTTCTTCTTGTTAATAATAATGGCAGGGCTGGGAATCCAGCTCGGTGGCACAGGTGCCTGCCTGGCAAGTGCAAGGTCCTGAGTTTGATTACAAGCACCAAGAAAAGTAATAATTTTTATGGTAGAGTGTTGTTTGCCTAATCAAAAAGTAAACTCATGAAAGGCTTGATTTTGTATTTAATTGAAAGAACCGTGATGCTGCGTTCAGCTTTAGAATATTGAGACAGAGACTTTTAAAAAACCTTTTGAGGTATTTTTTTCTCCAAAAAATTATTTTTGGGGAAAACTCATACTAGTCCTTTTAAGCCTTCTCTAAATGCGTTTTCCCTTTAAAAAATAAAGTTTTCTCTGTTTTAGAATCCATCTCATGCTCAATTGCTTAGACGATGTCCAAAATTTCTAAGTTTGATAATATAATGTAGAAGCTGGTAAAAAAACAAAAGGTATGTCAGGATGTTTTAAATATTTAAGTATGCTGTATTTTCAAAAGGAGATAATAATGTCTTAATTATTATTTCACTGTCCGTAATTTTTCCTTCTGTATGCTTCATCTGGAAGGCCTGGGAGCTCATGCAGTGTATGTAGAGGTCCCATCCTCCTCGGGGTGATGTGAGGCAACCCCCAAATAGCACCTCTGACAGGACAGAAATGCAAAATATCTGAGTTTCAGGGACGGCAAATGAGTCATTGTCATGTGCAAAGGTGGGCTCTGTTAGCTTTACTGCTTATTGTTCCCCTTCTGAAAAGTGTGCTGGGGACCTAACAATGACTCGGTCTCCAACTCCTCCATTGCCGCATGGGCCTGTAAAATGATATCATATCATATATATATATATATATATGTGTGTGTGTGTGTGTGTGTGTATAAAATAATGCTAAAGCCCCAAAGATTTAGACAAGTGTGACAGATAGGATTTTTAATTTCACTGTGGTAAATGTCCCTGTCCTTCTGTGATTTCTTTCCTTTTTTTTTTTTTTTTTCTGGTACCGGGAACCGAACTCACGACCTTGAGCTTGCCAGGCAGGCGCTGTGCTGCTGAGCTAAATCCCCAGCCCCTTCCTGCTATGATTTCTAGCATAAAATGAAGCACTTTTTTTTTTTTTTTTTTTTTTGGCAGTCTCCGGGATCGACCCCAAGGCCTCACACGCATTAGGCAGGTGCTCTAGTACTGAGCTACATCCGCATCTCCCCACTCTTCTTTTTGATGTAATTACAGAATCCTGAACAGATTGCTTTTGTCTTTTTAATTTTTTGAGGCAGGGTCTTGCTATGTAGTTCAGGCTGGCCTCAAACTCAGGGCAATCCTCCTGCCTCAGCCTCCTGAGTGCTAGGGTTACAGGTATATGCCACCATACCTGGCTACCTCCTCTTTTTTTTGAGGCAGGGTTTGCACTATCAAACGTGGCAGGTCTTGAGCTTGTGATCCTCTGAGGAACTGGGATTCTAGGCATTATCAACACATTCAGTTTGAGGTGAAGCTCTTAACTGGAACCTGAAAGTTAATTCAAATAGTAGAGCACTGATACAACGCCAACTGCTAGAGAAAAGGAGAGGTGGGGGAGGGGATGGAGGCACGCATCTCTGTTGCTGCCCTTCGTGTCAACTGCGTTTCAGCTGGGACCGCAGGAGGAGGCTTCGATGCTGACCACTCACAAACTATTAGGATGGGTTCTTGGCTGTGCTGAGGAGGAAACCCATTGCCCATGGTGGGCACGCGCTCTACCACTGAGCTGCATCCGCAGTCCGAGCAGTTCTCGCCCGTCAAGGGAGTCCGCTCCCTGGGGAGTCTGGGCCGGCCTCTCGGGGTGCAGCAGCAGGGCGCCGTCTGTGGGTGGCACCGCAGCAGCCACCGTGTCGGTGCCACGCCCTGGCTCGTGGTTCGGCAAGTGAGGCAGTGGCCGAGGGACGAGAGAATCAGTGGTCCTGCACCCCTCGGCTGGTGGTCGCTGTGTTGAGGCAGTTGGGGGGCTGAGATGGAGCCCAGTCCCTGGCTTGAGGGGTGCGGGGTTTGCTCTAACGAGGTTCTCTCACATGCATGGAATGGCTCCTCTGAGCCTCCCCGGGGAGAAGCTGGTGGTCCCACACTCCTGAGAGCTTGGGCGGAGGACTGACTTCGTGACTCTCGGTGATGTCCATGCTTGCGCGTCCGCTTCTCTCCATGGTCCGCTTCTCTCCATGGTCCGCTTTGCTAGCTTTGCTTTTCATCCCTTCTTCCTGATAACTTCTGCTTGTTATTTTTTTCTTTTTGAGACAGGGTCTTGTTGCGCAGTTCAGGCTAGCCTTAAAGTCATCACTCTGGCCCCAGACTCATGGCAGTCCTCCTGCCTCAGCCTCCTGAGTGCTGGGATCACAGGCGCAGACTGCCACACCCGGCTTGCTCTTTACTGTGTTCTCACTCTCTGCTCCTTCACTGCTTAGAAATACCGCACACAGCTTCCTCCACCTTGCACGTCCTTTCTGCTCAGACCCCTGACCGGGGCAGGCTCTTCGCTCATGTTTCCTAGTCCAGGTTTCTAGGAAGAGGACCTGATTGGGCCGCCTTATCCTCTCCAGCGTGGGTCAGACCCGGGGTTGGCTGTGCTTATCTCTGATGTTGTGTGGCAGCCGTGGGCTGGGGGCTGACCCGTGGCTGCTTCAGACCACAGGGCCTCTGGATCCCGGCAGTTCCCCTGGCTGGGGATGAGCGGAGGCCAGCAAGCCCTGTGGCTCAGGGATGGGCCTGGGGTGTCTGAATGGAGGGGGAAGCGGTCACATGATACTGGTGGGGTCCGGAAGCAGGTGTGGGGAGGAGTGCGGGTAGTGTCAGCGTGCAGTGCTCGGGGGTGTCTGGACAGTTTCTTCCCAATCCCTGCTGGGGAGCCTGCGGTCCTCTGCTAGATAGCGCCAGCTGCAGCTGCGTTCACCCAGAGCCTTGGAGGAGGAGGAAGGAGTCAGGGAGTTATTTGCAATAGAAGAGTTCAGAAGACCCAGAGAAAGTTCTCAAGGGCACTCTAGATCAAGTGTGGTGGCACGCACCTGTAATCCCAGCCCTCGGGAAGTCGAGGCAGGAGGATCTCCGAGAGTTCAGGGTCAGCCTGAACTACATAGCAAGACCCTGTCTTGGAAAAAAAAAAAAAGGAAAGAGCACTCTGGGAGGCTGAGGCAGGAGGATCATAAGTTTGAGCCCAACCTGGGCAATTTACCGACTTAGTGAGACCCTCAAAAAAGGGCTAGATATATAGCTCAGTGTGGAAGCCTGGGTTCAATCCCCAATACTAAAGTAAAACCAAAAAAATCTGAAACAAAAAGAGGAGAGAGCAGGATTCTGTTGATTGATTGATTGATTGATTGATTTATAGACATAGCACTACTTCCTGTGTGATGAAGACTGGCCTTGAATGTGTGTTGTCGCCCAGGCTGGCCTCAAACTCACAGTGATCCTCCTGCTTCAGCCTCCCCAGTGCTGGGATTACAGGTGTGCGTCACCATGCCCGGCAGGATGGTTTTTTTCCTGGTACTGGGGTCTAAAACCAAGGGTAGGTGCTCTACCGCTGAGCTGTATCCCCTGCCCTTTTCCAGTTTTCATTTTGATACAGAATCTCACTGAAATGCCTGAGTTACCCTTGCATTTGTGATCCTCCTGCCTCAGCCTGCTGAGTCACTGGGATTACAGGTTTGCATCTTTTTTGGGGAGGGTGTCCTTTTGAAACAGGGTCTCGCTATGCAGTTCAGGCTGGCCTTGAGCTCACTTTGTAGCCCAGGCTAGCCTTGAACTTCGATCCTCCTGCCTCAGCCTCCCGAGTGCTGGGATTACAGGCGTGTGCCAGCATGTCCTGCTCCCTGATTGTTGACATAATGTTTGGGTGGTGTTTGCGTGGCTGGGTTTCTGTCATACATTTCCTCAGTCTGTGGATGTAATTAGGAGCCCTAACCCTACACGTGTTCTCTCTCTCACTTTAGGCACCATTAAATGACCCCTGTGCGTGTGCCTCTTTCATGGGTTTGAAGCCGTCCACCAGTAAATACCACCTCGTCCGAGCGATACTGGAGTCGATCGCTTTCAGGTGGGAAGCCCTGCCTCAAACTCCTTCCTCTTCAGAGTTTGCCACTTCCTTCATAATTTGCTACCAAATAGAAAACGTCTCAATTGTAACTAAATTGTTTAACTTATACTTTGCTTTAATCCATACTGTATAGGATATAATCTGTTCTTGTTGCTAATTCCTTTGGTATTTTTCATATTTAAAACCTACTAGTGTCACTTAGATTTGTTTAAAATAAGTTTCTGTGGCTATAAAATGATTATATTTGATGAATTCTATTTAATAGTTCTTTTATGTCATCCTTTTTTTTTTTTTTTTTGGTTTTTCTCCGGTACCGGGAACCGAACTCACGACCTTGCGCTTGCCAGGTAGGCGCTTTGCCGCTGAGCTAAATCCCCAGCCCTTTTATGTCATCCTAATAACTACTAAGTAAGTAATTTTTAATAGAACAGTAATAAGCTTAGTTATAAAATAAAAACCGTGCTTTCTTATATGAAAGCAAAACACAGAGACCTGAGTTTCTTGTTTTGGGGGCATCCGCTAGACCAGCGGTGTCAGCTGTGGCATGTGTAGCGAAGCATACCGTTTGCATCATTGAAAACTCTGAAAGGTTCACCATCACTGTGCTAGATGAGCTTTAGTTCACATATTCATTTAGTATTTTCTTTTGCATATTTTATAACTAACAAGGAAAATCATAGCTTTTATTTTTGAGGTCAGAAGAGCAAATTATTAAGATATGAATAGTCTTTCAAGTAGTCATCTTGGCCAGGGACATAGCTCAGCAGCGCAGCACCTGCCTGGCAAGTGTGAGGTCCTGAGTTTGATTCCCGGTACCACCCCTCCCCAAATAAAATTAAATAAATAAGTCATCTTGCTGAGTGTGGTGGCACATGCCTGTAATCCCAGCACTCAGGAGGCTGAGGCAGGTTGAACAACCTTACCTCAGAAGGATTGCTGCAAATTCGAGGCCAGCCTGGGCTGCATAGTGAATTCAGCCTGAACTATACAGTGAGATCATGTATCCAAAAAAAAAAGTAGTCATCTTATTTATTTATTTATTTTTTTAACTAGAAACAAACAATTGTATGAGATCATGCAGAAAGAGATCCATATCCCTGTCACAAAAATCCGGTACGTATACTTTGTTTCTAACACTGAGTGGTAGTTGCTGTTAGTTTTCATTATGATTTTCTAGGATTGCAAAAAGAATTTAATGCATGCTTCTTAGGAACGAAATTCTTGGTCATAGCCACATATGGTGGTGCATGCCTGTAATCCCAGTAGGCAGGAGGCTGAGGCAGGAGACTCTTGAGTTTAAGCTCAGCCTGGACAACATAGTGAAACTGACACAAAAAGCAGAAGTTTGCAGGGGGGCATTCATAGGGCTTTGGAGAGGAAAGGAAAGCTAACCTGGGGTTGATGAATATAGCACAGTATAAAATGTGGGGGCATCTTCTACTCGTGTGTGTGTGTGTTGTGTCTGAAATCTCTGAGGTGTGACTATCCTTGGCATGGCAGCATCAGATTTCTTGACTTTCTTCACTGTCATGTGCCAATGAGTTTTATATTGCTCGTGTTTATTACACCTAGCTTGTTTATTACACAGAGCATATGGGATAAATGACTTTACTCTGTAAGGTCCTCTTGTACCAGGTCAGAACTAAATGATTTAATTTTAGAATTAGAAGGTTAAATTTACAGGGCTTGGGGATGGAGCTCAGTAGTACAGCACCTGCTTCGCATGCACAAGACCCTGGGCTGGATTCATTGCTTGACACCAAAAACATACAAAAAAGCAAAAGTAAGAAAGAAAGAATGAGCAGGGGGGAAAAACTCATAGAATCAAGGAGTTAAGAAAAAAATATGTAGCCCAGAGGAAAAGAATGAACCATACTTGTGTTGTGCTAACTTATCTATCTCGTGCCTGACTCCACAGGGCAGATGGAGGCGTGTGTAGAAACGGTTTTGTCATGCAGATGACTTCCGATTTGATCAATAAGAATATAGACAGACCTGCCCACTTCGACATGTCCTGCCTGGGTGCGGCTTCTCTGGCTGGCCTTGCTATTGGTATGTAGGATTTTTTTTTCAGTTTTCTTTCTAGAGACAGAGTCTTGCTATAGTCCAGGCTGGTCTTGAACTCACTATGTAACCCACACTGGCTTTGAACTCATGGTGATCATTCTGTCTCAGCCTCCCAAGTGCTGGGATCACAGGCGTGCGCCACCACGCCTGGCTGGTATGTCTGAATTTTGTTAAAAATGGAGAGCTTTCTTGAAAACTATTTCTGTAACTGAATGCAGTAAGTTCACATCTTGGTGAGTTCGACACCAAAAAGCAGAACCAAGCAATGAGAGGAGAAAAATCTATTTCCTGGAGCAGGTAAGGAGAATGCTAGGCCTATTTGTAAAACAGCACTCTTGCTGGAAAAAAGCACTGTAGGGATTTTATTGAGAGGGCCTGCATATGTGTGGGAAAGTGCATGGCACACTTCTGAACATGCTCCATTTACGGTCATACCTGAGATGTTCAGGCAAGGAAGATGGTACATGGCATGTTAGCACATTTCTGTCATGCCCGTATGTGGGTGCCTGAGCCAAGAGGATCCAAAGTTTGAGAGCAGCCTTGGCTAGAGAGCAGTTCCAAGCCAGTCTGCATTACACAGCGACCCCGTCTGTCTCACAAAGGGAAAGTGGAAAGAGAGAAAGCCAATACATTCCTAGATGTGCCCAGTTCAGGTTCATAGGGCACACGTTTAAGAAACAAAGATGGCGGACACATTCTGCACTTGCGCAGTTTGTAGTCACAGATTACGTGTTTAGAAGGACTGGGATCGTCAGCCCACCTGTGCATGCTCCGCCAGGTTTACTCTAAGCTGCCTAAGAGAATGAGTCAGAGGGACGCGGTGACCTTGGGGTCCCTTGTAGATGACTCTGAAGAGCTTTAGTGAAACAAAAAGAAGGGATAATTTCAGGTTACTCAGGGTGGCGGTGTTCTCCCCAGGTGATAAGAGGCTGACGTAAAAGTGTCTGTCACATTTAGCAGCATTCCGCCTCGTGGGCCTGGAGATTGAACCCAGGGCTTTTGCACTCCACTACATCCCCAGCCATTATTGTTGTTATCGTTATTGTTATTATTATTGTTACTAAATTTGTGATAGGGTCTCACAAAGTCACAAAGTTGCCCAAATAGGATTTAAGTTACTGTCCTCCTTCCTCAGTTTCCAGGGTGCTGGGATTGCAGGCATGTGCCGCCGTGCCGGGATTGTGGCCCGCATCTCTGTGGTCGCATATCCCCTCGTTGGGCGTCATACGCATAGGCCGCCCTGCTCCTGAGGCCTCCTGTCGTGGGTCTGGTTCCATTCAGCTCTTGCAGCCCTCCCTCCTTCAGCCCGAGCTGGGACCGGGCTCTGTCACTCTCAGCTGCTTTGGTATCGGGAGGGAGGGCAGCGAGTGTTACAGAAAACAATTCTCAGTGACATTGTTGAAGAACAGTAAGGCAGACTTCATTCAGACGACCACTGAGATAGGCGTAGGCACTGTGCAAGAGTGAGAACTTACAGCCAAAGGCCAGGGTAAGGGTCAGCAGGCAGAAAATTACTAGCGGGAAACATTAGGGTAAGAGGAGATTCTGGCTGGAAAGCAACCTAGCAGGATTTTTGCTGGAGGCAGGCGGACCAGATGTCACCTGGGAGTGGGTGCTGAAGAGGTAACCGGGAAGATCAGATACTGAGGACTGGAGATTCTGGCTAAACTGACTCAACACGGTTCTGAGAGGAGAGAGGAGAGAATGCAGAAGTGAACAGAGGTCCCAAAGTTGAAGCGCAGTGGAAAAAGAGCTCAGAAGAGATTGTGTAGAAGAAGGCAGAGAAGAAAGTCTTAGTCAGGTGTGGTGGTGCATGCTTGTAATTCCAGCCCAGAGGCGGCTGAGGCAGGGGGAGTACAAGTTTCAGCCCAGCCAGAAAACTTAGCAACTTAGCGAGACCCCGTCTCAAGAATAAAAATGTTTTATTTTATTTTATTTATTTATTTATTTTCTTTTTTTTGTTTTTTATCTGGTACCAGGAACCGAACTCACAACCTTGCGCTTGCCAGGCAGGCGCTTTGCCGCTGAGCTAAATCCCCAGCCCCAAATAAAAATATTTTAAAAGGCTGTGGATGTAGCTTAACATCAAGACCCTGGGTTCAAGCCTCAGTACCCCCATCCTCAAAAGGAGAATCTCTGCCAGTAAGATAAGATTGTTTGTGGTTTAAAAACCACTCCCTTCCTTCAAAGAGCACCTGCTACCTGATCATCACTGCTGAGGATAAGGAAGGTAAAGCCATAGGCCCAGGTCTCTTGTGGGGTTCGGCAGGCGTGTAAGACAGAGATGCCGGACAGAAGACCATCACACCCTGTGATACAGCCAGTGGGCAGCAGTGGTGCGGAGCCAGCGGCAGGCTTCCCAGAAGACGCAGCATCGAGTTCAGTGTTGAAGAGGCTGCCATATAGCTCAGCGGCACATCGCCTGCCTGGCAAGTGCAAGGTCCTGAGTTCGATCCCTAGTACTGCAAAAAAACATTTTAAAAAAAAAAAAAAAAAACAAATGGAGCCGGGTGTGGTGGCACATGCCAGTAACCCCAGCACTCAGGAGGCTGAGGCATTTGAGGCCAGCCTGGGTTACATAGTGAGGTCAAAGCAGCCTGAATTACATAGTGAGACCCTGTCTCAAAAAATTAAAAAAAATTAGAAATAAATAAATAAATAAAATTTAAAAAGGGCTAGGGATATTCTTTAGCATAGAGTGTTTCTGAGTTTAATGCCCAGTAGCACTAAAATAAATGAAAAAGAAATATACCTGAAGATTATGTGCATCCTGGTTTTTTTCTGCATTTACCCCAGAAACTGTGTCTGTTCTGAATGTACTTAAATTGACCCTAAAATGTGTATGTACCTTAACAGGTAAGTAAGTAATTGTGGAAATGAGCCTTTTCAGAGGTATTTATGTTCATGATTAGATTCATCTAACTGATGTATGATGGTATATGTGTAGTCTCTTACTTTGACAAATTAATGCTTTTAGGCATAGATTATCTAAAATGCTACCTTTGTCAATAAAAAGGTGACCAAAAACAAAATGTTTTTTAAAAAAGCCAAGCATGGTGCCACACAACTGTAATTCCAGCATTCTGGGAGGCTGAGGCAGGAGGATTGTAAGTTCAAGCCCAGACTAGGCAACATAAGGAGCCATGTCTCCAAATTTAAAATTTTAAAAATTGCTGAAGATGTGGCTCAGTGTGAACGCCCTGGTTTCAGTCCCTAGTACTAAAAAACAAAATTGGAAAAAATTTCATGTGTCAGTTAAATACCTTTCTGTTCAAGAGAAAATGTACTTCATGGAGTTGTAGACTATGGTAGACTTGAAAATAGGTGAAGTGGACCACTGAGAAGATTCGAGGTTCTGAGCTTACTGATGAGACACCTGTATCATTTCATGCTACTTTATGATGATAGTTCTAAGTGTGTGCTGCTTTTCTTACAAATTGCGTGAGCTAGTCTGGCTGAGGGGTGTAGCTCAGAGGCTCCACCAAGAAAACAGCACTAAGGAATTTATCCCATGATCTTCTTTGCAAAGAACAGTACATGTTAGAACTAGGATTTTCACTTGAATTGGAATTTAAATTGTATAAAATGCTATATATTTGAAAAAGAAACTATTATATTAATTCCTGGCTTTGAATTTTAGGCATCTGCCAAAGTTGCCACTCACTTGAAGATGTAGGACAAGAGTACTAATTTACCTTCATTCTTTTTCTTTTTGTTTTTTTGAGACAAGTGGTACTAAACTTACTGTATAGCCCAGGCTGTTCTTGAATGTGAGATGATCATTCTGCCTCAGCCTCTTGAGTGCTAAGATTATAGGCACGGCCGCCACACTTGGCCACTTTCATTTTTGTTTGTTTTTTTTGTTTTTTTTTTTTTTAAGTTTTTTTCCGGTACCAGGAATCGAGCTCACAACCGCACAATTGCCAGGCAGGCACTGTGCCGCTAAGTTAAATCCCCAGCCCCTGTTTTGGTTTTTTTGAGACAGGGTCTCTATGTATTTCAGGCTGGCCTTGAACTCACTATGTAGCCCAAACTAGTGTTGGACTCACTGAGATCTTCCTGTCTCAGCCTCCTACGTGCTAGGACCACAGATGTGCTTTGACATGCCTCGCTACCTTCACTCGTTTTTTTTTTTTTTTTTTTTTTTGCGGGGGGAGGTCTTTTTGAGACAGGGTCTCCCTATGCAGTTCAGGCTGGCCTTGAGCTCACTTTGTAGCCCAGGCTAGTCTCGAACTTGCAGCAGTCCTCCTGCCTCAGCCTTCCGAGTGCTGGGATTACAAGCGTGCTCCACCACGCCCAGCCCTTCACTCATTTTAATAAAAAGAAAATATGCTATGTATGGTGGTAGACACCTGTAGTCCTAGCACTCAGAGTGAGTTCAGATCCTCCCTGAACTACACTGAGAGACCCTTTCTCTAAAAACAAAATAGAACAAACAAATGTGTATGTGTGTGCGTGTATAATTTCCTTTTTAAAAACTAATTGCAAGTCACGAAATGAAATGATATTGGGTATGTGTGCTTTAAAAGTGATTTGACGCCACTCAGAGAAAAGCTGAAATTAGAAATCAGGATTTTATTTATTTTTATTTTTTTGGTTTTTTTCTGGTACTGGGAATCGAACTCACGACCTTACGCTTGCCAGGCAGGTGCTGTGCCGCTGAGCTAAATCTCCAGCCCCGAAATCAGGATTTTAAAATCCTGGTATATTTATTCCCAGGAATAGTCTGATGTAATAAATCTAAAGCAACAAAATCTTGTGGATGGTTTTTAAAAACACTAATGGTTTTCCTTAGCACAAAGCACCTACGTTTGTGGCTGAATTTTGCAGGCTCATCATTTGCATTACAATTTGAGAGTCGCTTTCTCATCTGCAGGGTTTTGGAAGGACAAGGAGGAGCTGAAGCAACTGAGACGAAGTGAAATGGTTTTCAAGCCCCAGAAGAAGTGGGAAGACTACGAGATGAGCATGGAGAACTGGGTGAAGGCCGTGAAGCGCTCCATGAACTGGTACAGCAAGGCGTGAGGTCAGGGGCCGGTGCGGCCACGCACAGCAGGGCGGCGCGCTCAGGGACCCCAGCACCGAAGACTCAGTGAGAGACGGCGCTGCTCTTTCAAAAACAAATGAACACCTCTCACTTTAAAAAATCCAAATCTCGGTAAAATGATAAGGCAGCAATACCTCAAAACTCGCCATCTTGTTTTCTAGCAGAGTCCAAAGGACACTCGCCACTTGCGGCTGCGTCCTGCCGTCCTGGGTCCTCCTTTCCGACACAGGGCTCACTGGCGCGGAGAACCCGTTCACCACCCGGGTGCTGTCCGCAAGCACTGCTCACCTTTTGTTCCAAAATGATGTGAGAAGAATTCTTTCATTCAGTGACCTGGGCTGTTTGACACCCAGAGAGCTGAAAGGAAAGAATAACTGAGAGAATGTGGAATTTGGAGACTTTAATGTTTCATGTGTAAAGCCAGAAGTTCTCAATGTGACATCCAAATACGAGTTCAGCGTGTCCCTCTCAGATAAGCATGTTGCTCAGTGCTTTCCTTTATTGGGCAGAAAGGCATTGCCTTAATTTTACCTTGTTCAACCAAATCTGAACTTTTTTTAATGCTGAAAAGTTGATTTTAATGAATGGACTATAAAGGGTGTTGGTTTTTAAGAAACAGACAGTTCTGTTCATTTTCCTTCTCAAATGACATTTCTGTCAGAAACTTCCGGGTAAGGTATAACATGCTTTTTACAAGATGCAGGCATTAACATAAATCTTGCATTTCTTCCTCTGTTCTGTATCTTCTTAGTTCTAAGGTGGCTGCACAAGTGCCCTTTTTTTAATTAAGTGCCTAATTGACAGTTTAGTTTGAGGAAGGTCCCCTAGTTTATTAGTAGCTTAAAAACTGCCTATGGAGGGTATTTTACCTGTCAGTCTGTCTGTTTTTCTGTTTGTCTGTGTGTGTGCTTTTGGCAGTGCTGGGGAGCGAGGCCGGTGCCCCGCTGCGGCCTATAGCCCAGAGGCCCGGTGAGTGCTCGTGCAGTCCTCTCACCGCTCTGAGATGGGCAGCTGTGTGGGAACGGACAGGGGGGCCGGCAGTGTGTCCTGTGGCCACTGAGCTGGAGACCCTGAGGGCCTGGGCCGTCCCCCATTTTCAAACTTTATTGCTAGAAACGAAGTGGAAGAAAAGCCTTTGAAATTGTCCTAAAGCAATGGAGCACTCCAACCTGTTCTCATGTTATTTGCCCCTCCCTGCATTTGGGGATTTGAATTTATATGCATGAATGAATGAATTCATTTTCCTTTTTTCCAAGATTGCTCACATACAGCCTATTTTTTGAGGCAGGGTCTCATATGTAGTTCAGGCTGGCCTTGAACTTTGTAGCCCAGGCTGGCCTCAAACTCATGGTGATCCTCCTGCCTCAGCCTTCTGAGTGCTGGGGTTACAGGTGGGCACCACCACGCCCAGCTGGTCACATAAAATATTTAGGTTGTAGAAGAACCTATTAGAAAATAGAGTAATGAGAGGAAGGACTGTTACAGGGAACCGTCTCATTCTTGTCAGGTTATTTCCACTTTGGAGTCAGATATGGTAGGAAGAACAGTCACATTGTGTTTCTGCAGTTCAGTAACCTGCAAGTATCTTTTTTTTGTAAAGTATCTTCCTCAGTTACTGAAATTTCTTTGGATTGAGGCATTGCAGCAAATAAATAGTACCATTAACTCCATTAAAATCTGGAAATCAGCTGGGTGTGGCAGCACATACCTGTAATCCCAGGACAAACAGGAAGAAGCTGAGGCAAGAGGACTGCAATTTTGAGCCCAGCCTGAGCAATTTAGTGACTTAGTGAAACTTCATCTCAAAATTTAAAAAAAAAAATTTTTTTTGAGGCAGGGTCTCATTACATGGTTGGGGCTGGCCTAGAACTCACTATATGGATGATCTTGAATTTACCACAATCCTCCTGCCTCAGCCTCCCAAATGCTGGGATTACAAGCATGTGCCACCACACCTGGCAAAAAAGAAAAATTTGTTTTAAGGGCTAGTGATATACCTTAGTATATTACAGCCCTGGCTTTAATCCTCAATACCAAAAAAAAAAAAGATAAATAAATATCTCTTAGATAATGTAGGAAAATAGCTCTAACAGAATATCTTTCATTGGAATTGAGCATCTCCATAGAAATCAGTGGCTAAGTCAGGCATGATGAAACAAGTCTATAATCCCAGCTACATGGCAGGCTGAGGCAGGAGGATCACAAGTTCAAGGGCAGCCTGTGTAGTTCAGTGACATACTGTTTCAAAATTTTATATGGCCTTTTTTTTTTCTTGGTACCAGGAATTGAATTCGTGACCTCATGCTTGCCAGGCAGGTGCTCAAAATTTTAGAAGAGCTTGGGGTATAGTTCAGTGGTAGAGGAAACCTTGGCTTGGTCTCCAGTACCCACAACCAAACAGTGGCTTTTTTTTTTCTTTTGTGAATCTAGAAACTGATCTTTTACTTTTAGTACTTAAGGTTACTTTTAGTGACAAAGTTGAGCAAATCTTTTGTCAGATTTAACCAAAATCAGAAATACCATGATCCTTATTTTTACAGTTTTATAAACAGTTAATAATCAAAATCATTTGAGCAGAAAATTGCCTTTCCCGTCTGACAAGTATATATTTCATTTGTATGCTAATATTTTCAATTTTTAAAAATTGTGCCAATTCTTCTCATTTTATTTTCTCATTATGAACCTATTAAAATATTTTTGCAAGATCTCCAGCAGTCCCAGTAAGGAGAATGCACAGTACATTTTAAAGTGCTACTGTTCTTCGTTTTTATTTTTTTGAGTCAGGATCTCTGGCTCTATAGTCCAGGCTGGCCTTGAACTCACTATGTACCCAGGCTGGCCTCGAACTTGCAGCAGTCCTCCTGCCTCAGCCTCCCGAGTGCTGGGATTACTGACTTTATTCTAGAGACTTACTGATTTTTAAATCTTTTGTATCCAACTATGATGTAATCCCTAATCTCACCATTGACATTTTAGTCTGAATAACTTGGTTTTGGGGTGGTAGGAGGTTTAGCAGAATCCCTGACCTCTGTGCTCTGGCTGCCAGTACCATCCCTCTAGTCAGTATGGCCACAGATGTTCCAATTACCGTTTTCCGAGGGAGCCAAAATCACCCCCAGTTAAGAACCACTGATGCATGCTGTTAGAAGAAAACTGAAGGCGCTGAATACACTGTCGTGCTTTCTTGGGCCATCATTTTACCTCAGGAAATGGGTTTAGACAAAAGGTATTTTATTTTATTTTTAGTGAATTTTTTTCTTTTCCAGTTTTTTTTTGTGGGACTGGGGATTGAACCTTGTGCTTGCCAGGCAGGCACTTGTGCCGCTGAGCTATATCCCCGGCCCTCCAATCGGATTTTATTGGTACATTTTATTTCTATTTTTTTATTTTTTATTTTTTATTTTTTTGTTTGGTTTTTCTCCAGTACCGGGAACTGAACTCACGACCTTGCGCTTGCCAGGCAGGCGCTTTGCCGCTGAGCTAAATCCCCAGCCCCTATTGGTACATTTTAGATCGACGTGATGATCACATTCATCACAGAGAATTTGTACCTAGGTGTGGTATAACTTTTCTTTTTTTTCTCCCACTCCAAAAAGGTAGTGTTTTAAAATAAATAGGGTTTCTTCTTTGCTTATTAATGAGACAAAATAATAAATACATTTCCAGTTGTAGTCTTCTTCCCACCTCTGGTGCTAGGGATCAGACTCAGGACTTCAGGCCTGCCAGGCAAGGCCTCTCCGCTGAGCCGCGCTCCCAGCCTGTAATCGGCTCCTCATATTTTTATCCACCCACCCTCGGCACCACCTCTGCAGCCTCTGAGGTCTTAATTAGCAGGTCTGTGACCTCAGTGTAGGATTTATGTGTTCTGCAGATGGTCTGTGATTTGATCTGCTTTCCTGCTTCCCTCTCCTCTCTTTTTTTTTTTTTTTTT